CCCGCCCCAGCACTGCACTTCCCTGCTCCTCTGTCCCTGCATCGTGGAGGTCCAGAGTTGCATGCCCATCAGTGCTGGGGGTCTAACGAGTCTCCTTGCAGACTGAGACTCTTGAACTCTGCTTGACATGCCTTCTGTCTCACCACCGATGCTGGGGATCTGAAGCACATGGAGGTCACTGAGGCTGGAGTGTGTGCCAGGGTGCAAACCCTGGGATTCTGTCTGGCCTCTGCCTGAGAGGAGTTTGCTGAGAAGCTTCTGCCAGGGCTGAGAAAAGGCTTAACAGCTTGGGCTATTACTTAGGCTTTTCCGTAAATAAACTCTACGAGGACTTTCTCCTTGTCTTGCACATTACACTCTGTTCTCCTGATCCTTTGTGCTCTGCATCTCTCACGCCCAGCCCGTCCCTCCAAATCCATGACACCCCCAGGTGCTGACTTCCTTTGGAGAACAAGAGGTAAAGGAAGCGGCCTGCCTGGACCATTTTCAGCTTTGTCTGAGGAGAAAAGTGGTAGCACTGTCCACAGACAGAAAGACCCAAAGAGGAAGATTAATGACCACATCATGACATGGCCTGAGTCTGGTGTGGGCCTGATGGGAACTACTGTGATAAGCTCAGCTGGTCTCCAGTCTTGTTTTCTGCCACCTGTCCTTACACACCCTCCAAACTGGTCCTGCTGAAGCACGATCCTGACCTTCTCAAAGGTCTTTCGGGGGTCCTCCATGTCCTCTCCCAACCATAGGCCCTGTGATCCCATCTGGCATTTACTGCCCTGCAGGCAATGGCCCTGTAAACACTCTCTGATTCAGCCAGCTGGTTGAATCACCTTCTCCAGAACCCCCTGGCAGTTTCCCATCTTGGGGCCTGAGCTGAGGTGAGGGGCAGTGGAGGTGAGCCAGAATTGGTGCGCAGAGGACTCTCCGTGGACTCCAAGCATTCAGCTCACAAGGTCTAAATCCTCCCTTCCCTCCCTTCATCACAAGCCAAATTCTAGCACCTCTTTCTCACCTACTTGGCCAGCTGAGGTCTTGACTTCTTCTGAATTCATCCACATTATTGTATTGCTATATTATGTTTTTGTTTCTCTTTTGTTGAGTCTTATTTTTCCAGTTAGATTGTGAACCTTTTGAGAACAGGGGCTCCATACCTTCTTTATCTCTGGGCCCCCAGCTTCCACCCCTATAAGCAGTTTAGAATTGACACGGGTAAATATTGGTATTTCTTTTTGGAGCAAAGGCAGTCCTGGGGGAGAGGTTGAGAGGTGAAGGGGCACTGTAACACTCTGGAGCCCCACCATTGCTGCCAGGCTTCTGCGCTAGCCAGCCTACCCTGGCGGTCTCTTGGCCCTCCCACCCTCTTCAGCTCCTCCTCTCTCTTTTCTTCTTCTCAGAGTAAAGGCCAAAGAGTCTGAGAGGCCCAGGGTATGGTCAGGGCTCAATAAGAGAGGGAAACCTATGATAAATCAAAGAGGGCTTCCCAGAGAACAGGGCTTTAAAATAGCGTTTGGGAGAAGAGAGGGGTAGAGCTGAAGAGAGGGGAGGGTGAAGGGCATCACAAGCAAGAAAACACATCTTTTTGTAAAAGATATGAAGGTAAAGGGGCAGGGAGAGCAGGATAGCATATATGTGTGTAAGTACGCGCATGCATGTGCTCTGCCAAGGTTCCCAGTGTCCCAATGATGTAAGAGAAGAAAGAGCTGGGAAGGGAACAGAAGATTTTTCTAGACTGGGCTGGAGTCAGCCAGATAGTTAGGAATTGGGAATCATTAGTGAATAAAAAGCAGCAACCAGGGATCTGGGACTTGCTTTTTTGTAATTAAGTGAATAAAAGTATGTTCAATCATTCAATAGATTCATAGAGCACCTATTTATGTGGATGTAACTGGGAGATATGGACATGCCTAGGGATGAATTGTGCTCCTGGGGAGCTTAGTAATATCTATCCATCTAACACACACTTAATAAACACTTAAAAAAACTCAGCCAGGATGTTAGGGTAATCTGGGATATACAACACAGACTGTGACAAATTAATCTAACTATACTACATGTTTGTGACAGAAACACACCAAGGAAGGGGTATGGGGGAAGCTGACCTAAGTAACTTTGGAAAACAGTGTTTTGGCTGGAAATTGTTAAAGGCTAAAGATAAAAGGAATGATGTATTCTGTATAAACACTGTACTCTGGTAAATTTGTTTCTTACTGGGGTATGAGTTAAAATTTTGAAACTGTTTTACATGTATATTGGGGTAGAGCAAATAAGGAGTGGATGTTGGGGGGCGAGTTTCTCATTGTTAGAGAGAAGTTACAGATGAGCAAAAGGGAAAGGCTAGAAGGAACTCTGTGGTACTGGGGTTAGACTCAGAGACATCAGTGTGAACTCCTATTTAGTTTAATATATATACAGATGGATAGATACAGAAACAATTATAGATATGTGTGTAGATATGGTTTAGTATACACACATATATTACCTAACTTTGTTTGCTGAGCGTGCCTAGAAGCAATGACACTTCAAAAGCAGTGAGCATGCCTAGCACCCAGATCTTGGTTTCTAAATACCATTCTCCAATAAAAAGAAGAACCTTTTTTCATTCCTTGGAGAAATGGCTGATTCTGGGGCTGGGGAAGGGAAAATGCAAGATAAGCTAGAGCATTTTGCAGTACTAGAAAGTAAGAAAGTACTCA